CATGCGCGCACACACACCTGTTCTCATCAACAATATCAATAATATTAATACAACACTAGAGACGGCGCAAGCTGAGCTGACTAGATGCAGTGGGTGGAAATATAGGCTGGGAGTTCTCAAAGTTAGCTGCCGAGGGACACAAAGAACCCAGGGCCTCACGGGGTCTCCCCATTCCCTACAGAGGCCTCTTTTTCCCCTCTGTCCCTTCCCAACCCCAGTTTTGTTGATTTGCCAGACCCAGTTGGGGCCGACCTGAATGGCCATCTTATTTGCTTTCAGGATAGAGGTCATTATTGGTAATTATATCTCTGTGGAAGAGGGTTCTGGCTGCCTGCCAGCCCAATGCTGCCTTCCTCTGCTCTGCCCTGGGTAATGTCACCATCAGCACAAATGCTCCCTGGTCGCGGTCAGGCCAAAGATGGGGAAACTATGGAGCATCACTCATTGGAGGCTGCTGGCCCCTCCCCCTGAGGCTGTCACAGACTCAAACAGGGCATCCCTGCACCCCCCATCCTATGACTCCCCCCCCCCACACACACAGCTTCACCAATGCCAAGGAGCGCTAGCAACCAGTCAGGAAGCGTGGCCAGGCTTCACTCAGAACCCAGACAGCCTTTCTAAGACACACTACTCCTAACTTCTAGTTTTCCTCCTCACAGGGGGGAGGGAGTATCTGTCTCTTTGGAGAGACAGGTTTAATGCAGAAATGACAAGGCAAGAGCTCTCCTCTCCATCTTAGGGTTTTCTGAAGTTGCTTCCTCTGGACCTCTCTCCTACTGCCCAGTTTGAACAGCCCTGAAGTCTGGCCTTCCCAGAAGCCACCGCTGTGATGGTCAAAGGGCCCCATCCATTCGCTTTCCCTCAGCCTCCTCTCCCTTCCCCCTGACCTACTCCTCAGAGCAAATTTCCCAGTCCCTCTATCCCACAAGTCTCCAGGCTTGTTAGAAAACCACTTCCAGCTCCCAAAGACCCTGAACCAATCCATGGTTCCCAGGCTGTTCCCACCCTCCAGGCAGGTTACTGTGGCCTCTGGAAGGGGAGCATAAAGACCTTGAGGCCTGAGAATGCTGAGAAGAGCCAAAGAGCCCAACTCACAGATAACCTTGAAGGCCCTTCTGACTCCTGGCAAATTAGATTTGGTGCAGGAGGGGTCACGGTGTGGAGACTTGTGGATTTGGGGCAAAATCAAACAAACATCCCGGGGTCTTCCCCTTTCCTCAGCTGGGATACAGAAAAAGACCAGAAAGGGCAGCAGACAGTGGGGGACATGGAGCTTGTCCTGTCAGGTGGTAGGGCAAAGGCTGGCCAGGCCCTCCTACCACACTTTCCAGCTGCTGGAGTTGGGACCTAAGCCCTGAAGCAGCAAAGCCTGAAATTGCTTCCATGCCCAAGGCTGTAGGCCAGGCCCAAGCTCACCTTGCCACCATCTGTCACCTGACCCTAGCCAATCTAGGCCAGTGGGGTCTCAGTAACTTAGGTCTAAATGTTCCAACAACACTCATCTGTGGGAGTGAAAAAATCCACGGAGACTCAGGCAGGAGCCTGGAGGGGGGGGGAGCATCCTTCCTACTTCCACCGAGTGAGGGGCACCAGCCCCTCCCTCCTTGCCCTCTGATAGTCCCCTCAACTAACATGGATCCAGAATCCAGGGAGCCCACAGAAAGGAGAGCTGGCTCAGCGTCTACTGCTAGGCAAACGTTTGGCTTTTGTTTCTTTTTTCAATTTGTTTTCTAGGACTACAGGGGTAAGGGAAAAAAAAAGCTTGTCATGATAACACTTCATAACCCCGCCCCATCTCTCTGCTTACAGCTCCCAACAGCCCCTGTCAGTACACTCTCACCCCCCACTCAAGGTCCCTTTCCATCTCTTCTCTTTATTAGGCTAACCCCGACTCCCCCACACCCCCAACCCAACTCAGGAGTGCTGGTCTACTACAAGGGACACCAGCACTGCTGCTGCCTGGAGCTAGGCCTGGGAACCCACACCTTCAGTGGCAATGTGGGCATGACTGTGGCCCAGGAGCCAGCCTCTCCCTTGGACCATGACTCTGGAGTGCCTAAGGAGTACTAAGAACAGATAGTATTGAGTAGGAGGGAGGCACTGTCACCTCAGCACTTGCAAATGGCGGAGGGCAGGCCAGGGGACGCTCAGGACCCTGCCTGCCCCCCCCCCACCAGCCAAGCAAGACTGCCTTGTACATGTAGGCTGGGAGAGGAAAGCACCAGACCCTCGCCTGTGCCTGTGCCAGCCTGGCGTTACTGGTGATTTTTCTTCCACCCACTGCCGAACATACACTTTTCTGAACTTGCCCCCAAAGGAAAAGTAAACACAGTCCTGTTGGTTTTCTTCCTTAAAATACCTGGACTTTACATGCCGGGGCTGGAAGGGATTGTTCTTGAAGACTAAAGTGCACCAGGAGTGAAACCCATATCTTCTTCCCCTACAAAACCTCCTCTTAACTCCCTTGATTCATTCTCTCTCTCTCTCTCTCTCTCTCTCTCTCTCTCTC